TTTGTGGCTAGCTTCCGGGGGTTGGCTGTCTTGACGTGGCTGAGAACAGGGCGACCGCGAACGGGATCTCCTGTTATCTTTGGCAGGGGTAGCTTCCCTATGATCCCGTTGAGAGATGAGGTTCTTCAAACATCCTCTCTCAATCAAGTCCTCAATATCCCTCTTCAAGATTCGGCAATCATTAGTGAGGTGGCTGTGGTCCTGGTGATAATGGCAGAATTGCATGGTATCTCAATTCTTAGGATTTGACCTCATCTGAGGAGCGGGCTCCTTGAGGTATTCTTCCTTTTGAACCATGATGAGAGCATTGGTGAGAGAGGTGTCGAAGATGGTGGGAGATGCCTTAGGCATCGGATTCTTCTGGTAGTCCCTCATGTTGGACCGATTAGGACGAGGGTCGGCCGTTGAAGGGTTTCTTGGCCACTTCTGCTTTACAGGAGGGCTTTGGGCTGACTCTAGTGTTAGTGTCACCACCGAAGGACTTACTTGGTGGCTAAGATAGATGGTGCCACCAAAGTTGTAGTCGCAGAGATCTCTGTGGTTCTGGCCGATGCCTTATAAGCACGGGCATCTTCCATATCCATATACCCATGGGCCTTGGCCATTAATTGCTCACAGTTGATGACTGACTTCTTGGCAAGCAAGTCGGCCAACTCATTGCTCTGTAAGCCAGCAACGAGAGCAGACATGGCGACTGCGCTCCCTGGGTCATTGGCTTCTAGCCTCTTCGCCTGGAATTTCTTGAAATAGGCTCGGAGGCTCTCTTCAGGCCCCTGTCTCATTTGGATTAATACATGAGGGGGAGCTTTTGCTTGGTGTCGGCTAGAAAATGATGAATGAATTTCCAACTGAGTTGCTAAAAGCTACTGATGGATTTTTTTTCTCAAGGGCATTCCACTAGAGTTTGGCACTCCCTGAAAGAGTGATAGGGAAGCATCGACATATGATAGCTTTCGATGTTTAGAGCATGCTCATTACATCATAATAATTCTAAATATGCTCAGAGTGATCTCCCTCACCAGTATACTTTTACACATGAGGTATCTTTAATTTCTCACATGGCGTATTCATAAGGTCATCTGAAAGAGGGGTGTTACCCCCGATGGCATCAGCGACCGTTCTGTACACTAGGTTGTATTCGAAGGCTCCTATGGTAGTTGAAGGAATCAGAGAAGTATGAGGATGGGGTGTCTTGAAGACTACCCCCTTGGCGTGCTCCCCAAAACAATCTGGACCTGGACTCTAATCAGTGGCTTCGTGATGAGAACGATGATACTTTTCACGACGAGGCGGAGGGATTGATTGTTTAGCATGGCTCTCAAATTGTTTAGCAGCATTACGAGGAGTCCGTGGTGAGGTATCTCACTATGCTCCAGAAGCATAAGCTTCTGATCGTCAGTCTCTAAAAGGCGGAGGGAGTGAAGTGGCTTGTTGCAGTTGTGGAGGTCGACAAGGGAGCACATTCGTCAGGACGAGAAATTGTTCTTTAAATGACTAGGAGAGTTTGTGAGCTGTTTCCTCAAGCTGAGCTTGGGTAACATGGCTCTGGCAATGTTCTACAGGGTGAGATCGGTCAGACCCTTGCTCAGAACCTGGTATTTTTTTCTCAAAAAAGGAAAGAGGCCCCACGGTGGGCACCAAACTGTTGATGGTTTATATGATCACACGGTCAGTTTGATCCAAGTTAGGCTCGATTTATTCAGCATTGAAGAGGGTCGGCTTCCTTATCTGACTTTATATCTAGTTCTTTGAATTAGGTATCTAAAAAATCTACACAAATAGAAAGCACGTGAGAGGATGGGGTTTGATTCCCATATGGTTCCTTCGATAATCAAGTTAGCTGAAAAACTTGAGTGGAGTAAAGGAAGAACTGTGTGTTCTTGTAAATATGTAGTATGTGTGTTTGAGAATTAAATTTGTGAACCTTCACAATGTTAGAATAGTACCTGTATTTATACTAAGGAGGCAAGGGAAGACTGGTCATTTCGACTGAGAGCAGGAAGGCGGTGGCGAAGTGTGGGCTGGCGGCCACGTAGACACTTGCTTTACAGGTGTCGCCCTGCGAGTGGAGGGAAGGTCGCTTTGACATTAAATGGGAAGAGACTGGCGGCATGGCAGAGCCCACGTGGTCCGATGAATCATGAAGATCATTTGGGCTAGAGTCATGATGGCGCATGCCAAGCATTAAATGCAATGTTGACACGTTGTCATAGAAATATGGGCTCGAGATTAAAATAATTCTTTTAGCTTCACCAAGAAGTAACGCTCTTTGAGCCGACTTTGTAACCGCCTTACAAGTGGACGAATGGACTCGCGACGAGTTTATCAATAGAAGTAGGTCGACTGCCACCGCCTTTCATGTCGACACTTAGGGGTGTCGTCTCGTCCTATCGGCTGAGTTGTCGGCCTTGATTGTCTCTGGTCGCTAACTAAACTGTAGTGTAGCGTATCAAAGTAGACTTGTCAACTACTTGAGTTTAAATTGTATTTCGATGAAAATGGGAACACCATAACAGATCTAATTTCTGTTTAAGAGTTAAAAACGAATTCATTAATTAGGGTTTAAGATTTGATATAAATCTAATATGAGATATATTGCTAATTTAATTATTTCAGGATGAATTTACAACCATAATTATGTTTAGGGTTATTAGATCCCCTCAAGTTGATATTTATGGTTTTATATATCAGTGTAAACCCTAAATACCCTAATCAAGAATTAAAACATGAGTTACTTTCGAAGAATTTTGACTTTTTATGAATTTTTGAGAAATCTATCGATTTTGATCCGTCATCAGGTTGGTCAACTAATCAGAAGGATCAGTCGACCGAAATGGCCTTCAGGAACTGGGTTTCCCCTAAGGTCGGTCAACTAACATATGTATAAGTCGACTGACATATGTATTGGTCGACTGCTCGAGACTTGTTATTTGTACACGTTTGTGCATGTCGCCGCCCGGTCGACCGATAGGATATCGGTCGATTGATCCCCAAGGGCAGTCGACTAATCTAGTACTGTTTTGCATATGTTGATCTTCCACACACATTTGGTCGCAAACACGAAGTATGAACCGCACGTCGATACACGTGCGTGACCATGGGAGTGCACATATTGGGTTTGAGCATGCACGGGCCTTCGAGAGTGCGTAGTCTAATGTTTTGTACTTGTCACGATAAGGAGTGACGATTGTTTCAGTTTAAAATAGTTTTGGATAGTGCGTTAGTCGGTGCACCGCATGATAACGCGGGCGACTACACTCTGAGTGCGCTAGTCCATGTAGCGTAAGAGATTTCGGGCGACTGTACTCCATGGTGCATCTTTGTTTAGGTGGTTGCGTATGCTTGTCCGTGCACCGTATGATATTACAGGCAACACACTCCGAGTGCGTTAGTCCTTGAGCCGCATGATACTGCGGACGACTACACTCTACATGTTTAGGACGTCTAGTGCTCAGGCGAGTACTGTTTGTGGACGTAGTCCAACATTATGACAATCACATGTGACGGTACACACTTTTGATGAGGATTTCATAGGATCGCATATTTGTTTCCGTGCCACCTACCGAGGGTAGGGTGAGATACTGTGATTGACATGCATGACATGTCCTGGATGAGGTATTGATGATGCATTTCTGTGTTACTTGTCCATAGGATTTGGAGTTGATATTTAGTGACTCACAATTTGAGATACTGTTATATGTATGATGGTTTCTTTGTTTGGATTATTCCCTCGACGTAGTTATCTCGTGTTGTGGGTTCCTAAATCTTAACTCCTCTTAGTACTAGTTATATGATACATATATATGTGTATACATATGTCTGCATGTTATATATAGTATTTTATGTGTTTTACCCCCTTTCCCCTAAGGGCGGTGGAGATGTTCTTGCTAGCTCTTTGATGCTCGTTGATTTCATCTTTTTCAGGTAGCGGGTCAGGGATACGGACAGCCGCAGGTTGACAGAGATTCAGCATAGTCTATCGTCATTCATAGGGTAGTTGGTGCTCTACAGTGGATTATTTATTGTTTTAGACTTTTAGAGATGTAATTCATTTTGGGAGGCTAAGTGCCTTTGTACAGTTTAGTTGACTCTTATATTTTAGAGACTTATTGTTCTTGTCTCAATTTATCAGATATATTTTTTTGTTAGGACATAATTTTAGATACTGTTGGATGTATCTCCTTTACATTGTGTTCATCGTCTCTCATCTTTATTATATTTTCTTGTATCCTCACTTATTTGCATTTGACATCTGCTAGAGTGATATCAATGGTGAAGGTGAAACATGTTTATGCACATTGTTGGGAGCATGACAGGTTTGACATCTTTGGGTTTACCTTAGACTGCAACCATGTGTGAAACCAGGGGTTTCACCAACACCAATAAAATACCACAAGCAAGAAAATACCAAAATTTAACGTGGTTCAGTAAATCGTGCCTACGTCCACGGGGTAATTCAGAGAGAAATATTTCACTATGAACCAAGAGTACAATCCCTCCAAGTTACATCTGAACTTGAGGATTAAATCATAAGAGAAATATACAGTGTTACCTCTAGGGTATCAAAACCCTAAAACCCGTCTCACCAAAAAATTCTAACTCTCGTGGAGAAATCTACACCGTACCCTCGACGACATCGTCGTTCTGAAGACAACGGCTTTTAAATCACTGCAATTGGACAGCCAAGCTGTCCGGAATCTGAACTTTTTCTCTCTCTCCTCTCTTTTCATTTTTTTTGAGAGAAAGGATGGATTACCAAAATAGTAATCCAGCCAGCTAAATTAAGCAAAAAGGTTGTTACAAAAAAAGGCACTCATCCCCAACCAAGAATGAGTACCCTAGATCATCACAGTTTTACAAAATAAGAAACTTCACTAAGTCTTCTCTCCTACTGATATCTAGCAACAAAATATCAGAAGCTATAACCCAATACCAACTGTTATACAAGTTTTTCATTTTTAAACCACAAAATAGATCACAAAAAACTTCCAGCTTAACTTTCATTCCAGCAAGTCTATCACCCCCACCACAGGAACCGAAACCCTCTCAGCATTTGCAGCAGCCTTCTTTCTCCTCCTCTCTTGTAATCTAGCTGCACAATCAGAAATTTGTGATCCTATCCAAAATTTTGCAAAAGTCAAAATTTTATTCAAAAGTTCTAATGATCTCCTCCTCTTATTTGTAAAAATTCTATCATTTCTTTCCTGCCAAATACACCAAATAAGAGAACAAATAATCACATCTCTTTCTATATTCCCACTAACTTGTTCCTCATCCTTCCAACTCTTCCAAATTTCTTTTAAAGAATATAAAGTAAAATCTTTTTTAATTTTCATTTTGTGTTGAATAGACCTCCAGATTGAGTATACAAACTCACATTTAACAAAAAAATGAAGATGATTTTCCTCTTCCTTAGAACAAAAACAGCACATCATATCTGTATGAATACCTTTCTTCTCCAAATTCTTTTTTGTGTTTAAACCACTTCTTAAAGCCAACCAAACCAAAAACTTCACTTTTAAAGGAACAGGGAGTTTCCAAAGATTGATATATGCATACCTTAATCCTCCATCAGTAAGAAAATGATAATATGATTTAACAGTGAACTTGCCTTTTGCTTCCCAGATCCACATTCTTTTATCCTCCCTGTGAAGAAAGTTAACAGACATAATACTCTTCAACATATCAAAATATTGAAAAACCAAATTTCCAGTCAGTTGTCTTTGAAACTTGATATCCCAAACCCACTCATTATTAATTTTTTTCCTCAAACTGCTAATAGAAGCATAAGGAAACTCTGCAATATGAAAAAGCGCAGGAAACAAAGAAGCCAGAGTATTTGTACTTGACCATTTATCAAACCAAAACAGAGTTTGATTTCCATTCTCCACTTTAACACAAGTACTGCACAAGAAACTTTCAACATTAGTAAAAAAATTCTTCCAGAAATGAGATAAAAATCTCTTGCCAGAATAAAAATATTCTGTCCAGTTTTTGTTCTCAAAATACTTGTAAAAACTTATATGTTTCCAAAACTCCATTTTATTATCAAATCATTTCCAAATCCATTTCCCCAACAAAGCTTTATTCATAGCTCTCAAATTTATAATTCCCAATCCACCCAGCTTTTTGGGTTTGCACACTTCCTCCTATTTAACTAAATTAGAAGAATTCTTATGTTCCAAAGAACCAGTCCACAAAAACCTTCTCCTCATCCTATCAACTTTATCAATAAGCCACCCAGGAAAAGAAAAAAAAGACATCCAGAAAATAGGCATGGAAGAAAGAACAGCATTAACTAGTACCAATCTCCCTCCTCTTGATAAAGACTTTCCTTTCCATAAAGCTAATCTTCTCTCAAACTTCTCAATTAAAGGAGACCAATCTCTCCTCTCTTTTCTCTCTTTCGGATTACTGTTCAAGGTTACTGTAGCTCCAAAAAAATTAATAGAATTCTCCAAACCTATTCCTATTACAACTAGATCCTCTAAATCCTATTTTTCCCCCATTAGAATTTTAATTCATGTGGGCCTTATCTTGGGCTGGACCCACAACATGTAAATGCTGATGATTTTCACATTGTTTCGTCTTATAACGTTCGTATACTTTATTTTCTCATGTATTGTATAATCTCAAATAAATATTTTAAACCAAACCAGAGTTTGTTGTTACTTTGTTATACGGAATACGTCCTAACGAGAGTTAGTCATAGAGAGCAAAGACTAAAATACATCAACGTGTGAATAGGATACGACACTTCAGTTGTTGCTGACAAGACTTTTGACATTTGTTTCCCATGACACATTTGAGTTCGTTCTTGACTTCCCCGGCGCAACCTTTAATTTCTTAACCTAAACTTACCTGAAACCGTCGAGGCCTTAATTTCAAACTTGTGAGTAGAAATGGTCCAAAATCCATGACCACTTGGCTCTTCTCACAATTAAAAAAAAAAAAAAAAAAAAACCTTCCAAAATCCATGACCACTTGGCTCTTCTCACAATTAAAAAAAAAAAAAAAAATAGACCTATCTTCAGCTGGGATCAAGCCATGATTGCCTCAACCCGAGACTTGAACCTAACTAATTAATTAGTTAAAGCTCAACAAGTCCCCCAGATTAGGCGGCCAGACACCATTTTAATTCCCGCTGTCCGCAGCGACTCCTCTCGTACCCACCTACGCCCACAAGCTGATGACTATCGATGCGTTAGTAGTCCACAATTCATTTCATTTTTTCAGCCTCCTCCTCTTTATTAATTTCAATCTATCCCCTTTGGCTTATTTAATTTTGTTTGGCATAACATAATTGCTGGCCGTCATCTCGCTATTTCCCCCTCAGCTAGTATCTCTGTCTCCATCTCCTATGGGGAAGATGAGATTGGAGATGAGAATAGTTAATGTTCTTGTTTTCATCACCCTCTGCTTTTTCTCTCTTCCATTTTCTTCCTCTTTCTCATCCTCCTCCTCAAAGAACAGCAACGACATCAAATTGTGGTGCAGGCGAACACCGCACCCGAGGACCTGCCTGCTACTACCTCAGCCAGCATTTCCAGCCCGACCGTCCTCTAAGCACCGCCATCGACTTCTACAGGTTGTCGGTCCGCGCCAGCACTGAACCAAACCATCACGCCAAGAGCCACCTCAAGTCCTGCGCCTCACGCTGCCCCCGCAGCCCGGCGCCGCACCCACAAGGCCTTCCGCGACTGCCAGAAGCTGTACCGTGACACCCTTCAGCAGCTCAAACGCAGCGGCAGCCTCCACGCCCCCCTTTACCTGGACCCCTGTGGACGCCCAGACATGGCTCTCGGCCGCCCTCACCAACTCCGCACGTGCCGCAAGGGATTCTCCGACCTCAAGACCTCTTACAAGATCATCAAGCCTGTCATGCGCTACAACCTTCTCCAAAAAAAAACCTCATCAGCAACTGCCTCGCCATCAATCGCCCCAGCAACATGGCGGGGTCCATTCCGACCACGACTTACGCAGCCTGGACTGCTAATTGGGACACCCCCGTCGACCACCTTATGCGGGGGAGGGATGATTCGCAAGACAACCACCTTGTGGTGGCCAAGGACGGATCCGGCCGCTACCAGACCGTGCAGGACGCTGTTAATGCGGCCTCGGCGCTGAGATTGAGAGGGCACAGAAGGAGAATCGTGATCTATGTTAAGGCCGGCGTGTACGAGGAGATCGTGACGGTTGCGAGCATTCTCACTGATCTGACGATGATGGGGGATGGCATGGGCAGCACCATCATTACCGGTTCCAGAAGCGTCGCAGGAGGATACACCACCTTCAGTTCCCCGACTTTCAGTAAGCTACCACATCCATCCACAGACACACACACACGTATATATCTTAATTATCTTATACTGATCTGTCTATGATCTACTACTACTACTACAAATTAATTACAACTAATTAATCCGCTTAATTAATTTGATCATAATTCTAATTTGAGCCTAGCTAAATTAATTGATACTGTAATTAATTAATGTCATGATAGATGATATATATAAATATGTATGTATATATGTGTATGTATAGGTGTTTTTGGGGATAGATTCATCGGCACAGGAATCACATTTCGCAATAGCTATGGGCCGGGATCTCAGGCGGTTGCCCTGCTCTCCGGATCGGACCAGTCCGTATTCTACCGCTGCGCCATAGAGGGGTACCAGGACACCCTGTGCGTGTACACGCAGCGTCAGTTCTACAGAGAGTGTAACATCATGGGCACCATCGACTTCATCTTCGGCAATGCAGCAGTGGTCATCCAGAACAGCAAGATCCTTCTCAGGAGGCCCAACCGCGGCGAGGCCAACGTCATAACGGCCCAGGGCCGCACCGACCCCAATCAGAACACAGGCATTGTGATCCAGTTCTCTCGTATCACCGCTGCCGATGATCTGTGGCCCGTCCGACACTCGGTAAAGTCATTCCTGGGTCGGCCGTGGATGAAGTACTCGCGCACGGTGTACCTCCAGAACGACATCAGCAGCGCCATAGATCGGCTGGGATGGATGGCTTTCAAGGGCAACTTCGCCCTCAACACCCTCTACTACGCCGAGTTCAAGAACACGGGACCGGGTTCCGTAATGAGTTCTAGGGTGAGGTGGAGAGGTTTCCACATCATCATCCGCCCAGCCGCGGTGCGCAAGTTTACTGTCGCCAATTTCATCGCTGGCGGAGCGTGGCTGCCCGCAGCTCACGTTCCGCACTTTCTGGGGCTTTGAGGATCAATCGAATTAGCAAGTAGAGTTAGTAACATAATTAATGAGTCAATAGCCCAGCAATCTAAAGCAATATCCTTCATATTCGTCAAGCTAGCTAATGAGTAACATGCAACAGTTTCTCGCTGTTGTTGATATAAAATAGAGCATGCAATTGATAAACCAATCTTAGTTAGTCATAGCATGGGTCACCATCATTTGGTCACCTGTATTGGTCGTGCATCCTCATTCCTTGTTAATTTTAGTTGATTAGAGGCTGTGCGTTGGACGTATGTATCATGTTACAAGCCCAAACATACAGATAATACTTCTCTTGATCAATTCTTAAGGTAATGTCGCCTTTCTACTTCATGTATATACTGTACAATTACAATATTTTTCTCGATTTTTTAATTTTCTGTGTTAATTTTCAAGGGAGGAAAACGTATGTGCATTAATATTCCAATATTTTTTTAAAGGAAAAAGATAGCGTGAAGGTTAATGTAAAGGCTTAATTGTGAAGGTTAATGTAAAGGCTTAATTGGCTATCTTCTGTGAACAAATAGTACTTTTCCGGTACCGCGCCTGTTTCGAAAACCACAAACTTTTGCACAAAGTAGTTAGTTATTATTGATCTAGTATGTACAATTACTTTGATAACGAAACATAGTAATAGTGTTCATATTTTGAACAAATAGTTACATTAATCACTAATTTTTATAATGAGTAATTCAACAGAAGATGTCATACTATTGCATTTAAGCTTCCAATCTTCCGACTATTGTTTACATTATTAATCATTAAGTTATAGTATACATGGAATCCTATCGCGTAAACGATGTCCTAATATTTTATGCAGCGCCCATTAATTGTCGCGGCATTTCGAGGAGATCAGCACGATATTGCTTGCGTAAAGTCATAGCGGTTGTTTAATGTTCCTCCTATTTTAAATGATGTCCCGGCTGCAATTTTTTGCAATACATTGAGGTCTTGTGGCATTACCAAGTAATTAAGTTGCACGAGTTAGGCTTCGCATAGTTAATTAGGTAAGGCTTATACTAATTAAACCTCTCGTATAATCAATAAGTTGGGCTCAGGCCGCTAATCAATAAATTGGGCTCAGGCCGTTAATCAATTAATTTGGCTCAGCCGGCTATTTTCTCATTTAAAAAATGACCAAAAAAACAAGGGAAAAATGTGTCCAGGCCCCAAAAGAAGAAACTTCATGTGACAAGGCCCCTCATAGTTTTTCCCATGTGGATCAGCCCCTTGAAGTGTGACACTTTGTACTGCAGCCCATTTTTATCAATTATCACATGCCAGCTAAGCTAAAATTCCCAAACTATCATTATCCTCTCTCCTCAATCTCTTTGACCCAGCACTCATATCATCTCTCTCTCTAATCTCCTCTCTCTCTCTCTCTCTCTCTCTCTCTCTCACCTCTCTCTAAAACTAAGAGCTTTCTCAAGCTCGTCGTCCTGGCCGAGACGCACAGAGCATTAATCTATTAGCTAGAAGAAGAAAAGAAAAAAAGAAAAAAAGAAAAAAAGAAAAAAAAGAAAGGTACGGAGAAGTAGAGTAGAAGGGGAATGAAGAGAAATGCCATAATTAAGAAAGAACGAAAATGTGTATTGATGTATCGCTATGAATGAAATTGCCACGGTGCCGCCGAGCGATATTCGAAGCAATATAACGAGAGGTAGAAAATGAGTCCAAATGAAAGGAAGATACCGTGTGATAGATAATATAAAGGGCTACACACCGGCACAGACGGTAGTGAAAACGGAGACTGGAGGTGACCGTAAAACACGCGCGAAGTCGGCACGGCGCTGCTGTTTTCTGCTCGCTGCTGCCGTCGAGCGATGTTTCGGATGTTACCGAGAGAGATAGAGAATGAGTTAGAGCGTGATACAAATTGGAGGTGATAGGTAACATGTAGGGATACTCACCAAAAAAGAAATCGGCGGAAACAGAGATTGGAGGTGATCAGAAAGTGCGTGCGAAGTCGGCACAAAACTATAGTTTTTTGCAGTGCAATTTCTCGCCGTTCGGATTTGTTCTTTGCTATTCGGAGATTTTCGCCGCTGTCCGGGCTTACCGGAGGTGGGAGGAGGTTGTCGAGATCGTCGGGGTGTCTCGGTGGGCTCCGTCGAAGGTAGGAGGAGCTTTTCTCCGTTCCCAAGAGCCTAGAACTAAGACGAATTAAAGCTAGAACTAGCTAAAACTAGCAAAATAGAAGGTAGAACTGGGGGTATACAAGCTAGAACTAGGATAATAGAAGCTAGAGCTAACGTAGAAGAAAGAACTAGTAAGTGTGCATGTAAAAAACCCTTGTTGGGTTTAGAACTAGTAAGATAGAAGCTAGAACTGGTGGTATACAAGCTAGAACTAGGGGAATAGAAGCTAGAACTAACGTAGAAGAAAGAACTAGCAAGTGTGCATGTAAAAAATCCTTGTTGGGTTTAGAACTAGCAATATAGAAGTTAGAACTGGTTGTATACAAGGTAGAACTAGGGGAATAGAAGCTAGAACTAACGTAGAAGAAAGAACTAGCAAGTGTGCATGTAAAAAACCCTTGTTGGGTTTAGAACTAGCAAGATAGAAGCTAGAACTAGCAAGATAGAAGCTAGAACTAGCAAGATAGAAGCTAGAACTGGGGGTATACAAGCTAGAACTAGTGGAATAGAAGGTAGAACTAACGTAGAAGAAAGAACTAGCAAGTGTGCATGTAAAAACCCCTTGTTGGGTTTAGAACTAGCAAGATAGAAGCTAGAACTGAGGGTATACAAGGTAGAACTAGGGGAATAGAAGCTAGAACTAACGTAGAAGAAAGAACTAGCAAGTGTGCATGTAAAAAACCCTTGTTGGGTTTAGAACTAGCAAGATAAAAGCTAGAACTGAGGGTATACAAGGTAGAACTAGAGGAATAGAAGCTAGAACTAACGTAGAAGAAAGAACTAGCAAGTGTGCATGTAAAAAACCCTTGTTGGGTTTAGAATTAGCAAGATAGAAGCTAGAACTGGGGGTATACAAGCTAGAACTAGGGGAATAGAAGCTAGAGTTAATGTAGAAGAAAGAACTAGCAAATGTGCATGTAAAAAACCCTTGTTGGGTTTAGAACTAGCAAGATAGAAGCTAGAACTGGGGGTATACAAGCTAGAACTAGGGGAATGGAAGTTAGACCTAACGTAGAAGAAAGAACTAGCAAGTGTGCATATAAAAAACCCTTATTGGGTTTAGAACTAGCAAGATAGAAGCTAGAACTAGGGGTATACAAACTAGAACTAAGTTAATAGAAGCTAGAGCTAACGTAGAAGAAAGAACTAGCAAGTGTGCATTAAAAAACCCTTGTTGGGTTTAGAACTAGCAAGATAGAAGCTAGAACTGGGGGTATACAAGCTAGAACTAGGCGAATAGAAGCTAGAACTAACGTAGAAGAAAGACCTAGCAAGTGTGCATGTAAAAAACCCTTGTAGGGTTTAGAACTAGCAATATAGAAGTTAGAACTGGCTGTATACAAGCTAGAACTAGGGGAATAGAAGCTAGAACAAACGTAGAAGAAAGAACTTGCAAGTGTGCATGTAAAAAACCATTATTGGGTTTAGAACTAGCAAGATAGAAGCTAGAACTAACAAGATAGAAGCTAGAACTGGGGTATACAAGATAGAACTAGGGGAATAGAAGCTAGAACTAACGTAGAAGAAAGAACTAGCAAGTGTGCATGTAAAAAACCATTGTTGGGTTTAGAACTAGCAAGATAGAAGCTAGAACTAGCAAGATAGAAGCTAGAACTGGGGGTATACAAGCTAGAACTAGGGGAATAGAAGCTAAAACTAACTGTAGGCTGTCTAAAAATCACAATAGATAGCTTATTCAAACAAGCTCCGACAACGGAGGTCACAATCAGACGACTTCCCAATCACTGCATCCGCAACTCCACAATTGCCACAAACGCGACCTCACATCTGAGATGATTGATCTTGATGGCTGTGACAACAGCATGGCTAATATCGTAGCAACTATTAGAGATGCTGATGAGCAGTGGGACGATTTCAGAAATAAAAAGTTGGACTTAGTTGGTGAGTTGCTTGGTAGAGAGCTATGGGCGAATATTCATCTTTAAGACACTATGGATGTTGATTCCCGTCTAGCTCCTACAACGAAAGCTACAATCAAATAGCTTTCGGGTCGATGATCGAAACATATAGTCGAATAGTTGCTTGGTAGAGAGCTATGGGTGAATATTCATCTTTAAGACACTATGGATGTTGATTCCCGTCTAGCTCCTACAACAAAAGCTACAATCAAATAGCTTTCGGGTCGGTGATCGAAAGCGGCAAATAGAGGACTTTTCACATAGATCGAGAAAGGTTACAATTCAACGACACTTCCGACAACTGATGAAAACTCTATGCAGCAGTCTTCACAATCTACAGTGAAAGTTACAATCTGACGACTTTCACACTCCACAACAGCTAAAGCCAGGATTACTGAACAACGGTCCTTGCAACGCTCTACAGAAGAAGCACGGCGACCCTCGCGTCGTCAAGCCACAGCGACCCTCGCGTCGTCAAGCCATAGCGACCCTCGCGTCGTCAACCAACAGCGACCCTCGCGTCGACAATGCACAAGCCAAACGTGAGCGACCCTCGCGTTCAAAGGTGTTCAACCAACAGCGACCCTCGCGTCGACAAGGCACAAACCAAACGCGAGCGACCCTCGCGTTCAATGGTGTTCAGCTAACACCCAACTTCGCGTCTCGTCTCAATTTCAGAAGAACAACGAAGTTGGCAGGCTTCTGAACGCCAATTGGGCGTTTGACCTCACTCAAACATATAGTCGAACGGATTTCCAAACCGTTTATCCCACAGTTCTGCAGGATTTTTTCGCCCACCGTCAGTGAGCCGGCATATAGGAGTTCAGCTTACAATCTCCTATCCCCCTATAACAATATCTAACAATACCCCTCGACAGAGTATAATAGGATCGCATTTTTTGCATAATCAGCATCAAAGGGTGGATTCTTTTTATCATCAAAACCACTCAGTTGCGAGCATTCGGCAACAAACCTGCATACGCAAATCCTTGGCAGATAGGATTTTCTTTGAACCAACCTCAGAAACATTCAACTCCTGAGCAGAATCTTCAACAACACGTCAAAAAACTAGCTTGATTATTAACCCGACATTTTCCGGTTCTCCACAACTCTATTCACAGAGTTCAAACTCGTCAGAGTTTCTTAACTCATTCTAGAGTTATTCATAAACTTATCCACGGAAGTTCAAGCGTTTCCCACTCGAGATAAGACGCCCGTCGGATCCTCGTCAACGCGAAGCAAAGCTTCGACTCGCCAAT